TCTGCCCTGTGACCCTATGGCCCTCGTAGTACTGTGACGTAATAACCAGATTATACGCTGTACTGTCATGATTAGAGTCCCGTTAGGGGTGTTGATAAGACCTAGAAGAAAAAGAAACTGTAGTCTACCCAGGATTCGAATACCTTTTGGGAGAGCAAGGCTAAGTAAAATTTAATGGAAATGTAAGATCTACTAATATAATTGTGGGAAAATTCAACCATCAGTCCTGCATCACTTAATAAAACAGAGTAAATATACGTCATATATTTGATTTACTGGTAGTCTCTAAAACCTGCTCAAAAATGAAAAATGAATGAATGATATGGTCTGACTAAGCAAAATTCGTCATTCAGCTAGTTTGTCATTATACTCCGGTTCTAGTACACATTGATACAACCAGAAGCACCTGACTTGGTGTGGAACGTAATATAAGACCAAGTAGCCTAGTAACCTTTTTCTGGTTTACCTGAAGGCTGCTTTTCAAATGCAAGAAAGTGGTAATGCGGTTCCGAAGCAGAAGATACCGGTGCAGTGAATACAAACAATGGCGAGTTGTCGTTTTCATCAAGTATGGTAACAAATACAGTTACCAAATTCGAAAGTCGTGGCTGACCAGAGTCGGTGATGGAGACCTAGGTAGAAAAAATAGAAATAGAATCAGGCATGCAAAGAGGATACATTTATATTAAAGGATTTGTAATTAATGATTTGAATAATAAGCCTACTCTGAGCGTGAATTCTGTTCTGGCCTGAAAGAAGCCCCGGATGTAAGCTTCGCGATCAATAGATCGATTGGAAGTAGTGATCAAGCCTGTAAAAGAAAATAATGAAATTTGTGATGGCAATATGATACGCTCTGTTTATAATTATTGAGCTAGCTTCCACTTTGAGTGAAAGGGCTAGATGAAGAGAAAGTCATATGACGGACATCATTAAAGCATGATATCATCCTTACAACCTTATTTAAGCTAACGAGCCAAGAAAACTCACCAGTTTATTCCTAAATGCTGTATATATAACCTATATTTAAGCTTCATAATTATGAGTAAAGTGATATGGTTAGTTCACGTCATATGTCCGTCTTGAAGAATGTGAGTGGGTCTGTCTGTGTGTGTTTATGAGCTTTCATGTACTAGTAGATGTACGAAACCAACAGTAATGACTCAATGTAATGAGAACAGGAAAGTAACGTCTCTTCTCGGTCACCCAAGTTTGATGCCCTTAAGTGTATATTTTTAACCATTAATCCGATTGCCAAGAGGAATCTACCGTCATCTTCTGCTGGGATCGACCTTGGAAACTCTTCACCAAACGCTTTCACTGAAATAGAAGTGAGCTCAACATTTATAAATCAAGATATTCATCGAAATACAACTTTTATTTGCATATACGCTTTGTTTATCCTAAAGAGGTGGTTATCAGGAAAAATTTGATATCTTTATTCCAGTCTAAATGAGCATAAACATTAACAAATCGGTATAAAATGACCTCAATCTATTGGCAGTACATTTTTTAACAAATTAATAGCTTAGGGTTATGTCAACATTTACAAATCTCTCGAGAATGATCATGACCAAAAAAGATAAAAGATCTTCATGCAATATACCTCCTTACAGCATAAATGGCTTGGATACGATCTGCTATATGAGAAAGTCTAGAAGAAAATCAGCTTCGATTACTGGTTATAAAGCGCCCGAACCATCACTAT